CCGGCCGCGCCGCCTGAGTGGCAGATGGTGGCTGCCTGGGGACCCGGCCGTCCTGGTGATTATTCACCCGTCACCATGGCGATAGAAAGGTCAGCGAAAAGATCCCGCGTGATTCCCCAGGTCGGCAGGATTAGGAGCAGCGCCGAAAGGCTCAGGGGGAGGGATGGGACCCTCCCTGGCACGCCAGCTGGGCCGTTCCTGTCGGGTGCCGTCCCCAGTGACGCGGCTGGCTGAGGACCGATGAACTCTGTGCACTGATGAGAAACCCGCGGGGTGGTGCTGTTTCAGGGCTGGGCCCCTGAGGCTGCTGAAAGCAGGTGGCCCGCTGTCGGTGCTGGGTGAACCCGGCTGACCTGCTTTCTCCCCCTCTCTCCAGGCTGTTCCTCTAAGTCATTCAAGCTGTACTCGCCAAAGGAGCCCCCGAACGGCAACGCCTTTCCCCCCTTCCACCCGGGCACCATGCTGGATCGAGATGTGGGGTGAGCCGGGGCCCAGGGGTGGTGTGTGAGGTTCAGGTGTCTTTCAGGCCTGGACAGGGGGATTGCTCCATCAGCCTTCCCAGCAGCCTACTGGGAGTGCAGTGCGTTGAATTCAGCTAGCGCAAGGGCAGAGATGGGATTGGAGGGGGGCACAGCTGGGACCAGGCAGAGCGAGGATGACATCTGGGATCAAGGGAGCTAGGTCTCCTAGCTCTGCAGGGACAAGCCCTTTGCCAGGCCAAACAGCTGGGATAATACAGGATGGGGAGCACAGCTCCTGCAAAAACACCCCCTTCTCCAACCTCTGTCCTGCCTGGCTTCAGCCCTAGCTGCAGAGTGGCAGGATGTGTCCGGAGGGATGCGGTCCGGGCCCCCGGGACGGTGGAGCAGCGCAGCTCAGCCAGTGCCAGAGCAGAGCCCAGCTTCAGGGGTGCAGGTCACCCATGGGGCTGTGGGACGTCAGCAGTCGGGGTGCAGCCCTGGGGTCTCGTCTCCGGTAAGCCCCGAGCTTACTGCTAGAGGCAGGGGACGGGGTAGCTGCGGGGAGCAGGGGTGGAGATGCCCGCCAGCATCTCCCAGCACTAACCTGGGTGCGTTGCTTCTCCCTGCAGACCTACTCCCATGTACCCACCTACGTACCTGGAGCCTGGAATCGGGTAAGTGCAGGCGTGCGGGGGACGCTGAGCAGGTTGGCGCGTGGGCGCTTGGTGGGAAGGGAGCCGGGAGTGCGCGCTCACGGCTGCTCTGCTGGGGCTGGCCGAGCACGCCGGGTTCGGTGCAAGCAGAGGCCCTGCTCGGGCAAGGGACCTGCGAAAGGACGCCTTGGCAGCGCAGGCTCGCTGCTGGGCTGCAAGAGGTTGCGTGGGGTTGCTTGTGCTCTGCCCAAAGGGGCTGTTCTTCCTCATTGCTGTGTCCCCCCGCTGCGGGCTTGGGACTTTTCCCCACCCCTTGGCTTCCTTCCTGCTCTGACCGCTTGTGCTCTGCTCTCTCGGCAGGAGGCACACACCGTATGGGAACCAGACTGACTACAGGATATTTGAGCTCAACAAACGGCTGCAGAACTGGACAGAGGTGAGGAGCTGGGGGACAACAGGGCCTGGGGAGGGCCCTGGGACCCACTGGGGAGCAGGAAGGGAGGGGTGGTGAGAGGAAGAGGGAGAAGGTCCCACATGTATGTGCTGGGGATGCTGCCTGCTTTCACAGGCTATTATGGCTCCAGGAAAAATCCCCTTCACAGCACGGTCCTGCCCTGCTATGCAGGAGCCCGAGTGCCTTGTCCCTTGCTTGGCTGTGGGACAGGGCTTGCCAACCCCTTCTCTGAGTGCCCAGCCAGGAGTGCAGACCTCAGAGGGCTGAGCACTTGGCAGCTGTGCCTGTCAGGTTGAGGGCTGTCTCCTTGTCTCCCCATAACCTGTCATTTCTCTGCTGTCCCCAGGAATGTGACAATCTGTGGTGGGACGCCTTCACCACGGAGTTCTTTGAGGATGACGCCATGTTAACAATCACTTTCTGCTTGGAGGATGGACCAAAGAGATATAGTGAGTACCAGCAGCCCCTGGGCTCACACAGCATGGCTGGGGGGCTTGTGCAGCCTGCAGCTGCTGCAGGGGTCCCCAGGGCTCGGGTTTGAGCCCTCCTTCCTTCCTGAGAGCCTCATCTCTCTGGCAGGAGGCACAGTGATTGCATTGCACAGAGAGGCAATGAGGGGCAGGGTAAAAAGGATCAGCATCCCCAGGGTAACAGCATGCCCAAGAGCTGCCTCCAGCTGGAGGGGACTGCGGGACCCTCTCTATGTACAGCCCCAAGGTACAAGAAAGCATGTCTGGGCCAGCGAGGTTTTGTTGACGTTGTCTTCTTCCTTCTCCTACCTACAGCAATCGGCCGGACTCTGATTCCCCGTTACTTCCGCAGCATCTTTGAAGGGGGGGCCACAGAGCTCTACTACGTGCTCAAGCACCCCAAGGAGTCGTTCCACAACAACTTTGTCTCGCTGGACTGCGACCAGTGCACCATGGTGACCCAGCATGGCAAGCCCATGTTCACCCAGGTACCTGCAGCGCCAACTGCTTCTCCCCAAGGCCATGCTGCCCCTAGTGCCTTGGTCTGGCTTGCTCTCATGGTGGCTTTGGTCCTGTGAAGTGAGTGGCACTGATTTTCATGGCCGTGAGCTAGGCAGATGGGGCTGTGCCCAAGCGAGCACTGCGTTGTAATTACACCTGCCCCAGGCTGCCTGCAGTGCCCTGCTTTTTTGCACAGATTCCCTGGCCGTCGTAGGCTCATGGGTTTGGCTTCCGCTGAGCCTAATGCGGGGCGTGGGCAAACCAAGAGGAGGGTATCTTTGTGTGCTGGAGCGATGGGTTCCCAGGAGATTTGGGCTGGGGGAAGGGGATGGCAGCATGACCTGATACTGTGTGCTGTCCAGGTGTGCGTGGAGGGTCGGCTCTACTTGGAGTTCATGTTTGATGACATGATGAGGATAAAGACGTGGCATTTCAGCATCCGCCAGCATCGAGAGCTCATCCCCCGCAGCATTCTTGCCATGCATGTGAGTACTGCTCCGAGAGGCCCCTGGGGCATGAGTGACACGGAGCTACTGAGCTCATCTCCCTAAGGAGATCACAGGCTGGGGTGCAGGAGGACAGTCCCTGGCCTGGATGCAGCTGAGCCCTCTGTGCCTCTTGCTCCTAGGCACAGGACCCCCAGATGCTGGACCAGTTATCCAAGAATATCACCCGCTGTGGGCTCTCAAACTCCACACTCAACTACCTCCGAGTAAGTGTGTGGCAGGGGAGAGGGGGAGACTCAGCTCTGAACCTCAGATTGCAATGGGTTGTCTTGTGCTCTCATCTTCTGCCTGATGCCTGGCTGCCCTGGGGTGTTGGGGGCGTGTGTATCTGCAGCCACAGGCAGGGCAGGCTGTGCAAGGGGCGCCTGGAAGAGGGGCAGGCGATGCAGAGTGCAGTGGGGAGGCAAGACACCTCTGGGCTCGTGAGGCTGAAGCAAGGAGACAGAGCAGTCAGCAGGGACTCCGTCAGTGTGGTCACAGTCTGCCAGGGTCTGCAGGCTCCAGCTGTGGCTGGGGTCCGTGCAACGCAGATGGCTGCACGGCAGAGGGACTCTTGCTGGACCTGGAGTGTTGCGATCTAACCCCGAGTCTCTGGCTGCTCCCCACAGCTCTGTGTAATCCTAGAACCAATGCAGGAGCTCATGTCACGGCACAAGACTTACAGCCTCAGTCCCCGGGACTGCCTCAAGACTTGCCTGTTCCAGAAGTGGCAGCGGATGGTCGCCCCCCCTGGTGAGTCTCCCGCTGCCCACCGTGCTCCTCGGCATCCTGCTGGGTGGCAGGGCAGACGTGCTCAGGCCATGCCCTCCGTACAGGCTTCTTCCAGCCCCAAAGCCTGTCCCAGGCCTTGTCTTGTGTGCCCGGGGGTGGCATGTTGGGCACACGACTTCCTTGTCTGCTGCCCTGCCTTCCCTGCTAGGGCAGAGCGGGACTGCAGGCAGCCAGCACTCCTGGTCCTGTTCCCTGCTCTGGCGCTCAGGGATTGTGAATTGCTTTTCCTAGCAAAGCAGGGGCGGAAATCTTCCTTGCTCCTGGATGAACAAGGGTAGCAGGAGAGGAGGGGACACTAGAGCTGCGGAGAAGAGAGGGAAGGGAGGCTGTTGTGAAGCAGGGGGTATGGCGCTTGTGGAAGGGGGTTGTGCAGAGAAAAGGCTCGTTCCTAGGAGAGGCGTGGGGCACCATCTCCTTCTCATTGGGGATGACCGTGTCTCCCCACTTTGCCAGCGGAGCCAGCGCGGCAGCAGCCCAGCAAGCGCCGGAAAAGGAAGATGTCAGGGGGCAGCACCATGAGCTCCGGTGGGGGAAACACCAACAACAGCAACAGCAAGAAGAAGAGCCCGGCCAGCACCTTTGCCCTGTCCAGTCAGGTACCTGTAAGCATCCCGTTTCCATTCTCTCTTCCTTCCCTGGGGTGGAGGGGAGGGCTCCTTGCCCCAGGCAGTGGCTAAGGGGAGACCCCCCAGGAGCGGCTGGAGGGGGATGTCCCCGCCGAGCCCCCCAGCTCTCTCCTAGTGATGGGGAGAAGGGGAGGGGACCCCAATCTGCCTCTTCTGCCGGGAGGAGGCCAAGGTGAGGGTGTGTGGCCCCACGCAGTGCCCGAGCTTTGGGGCCTGCGATGGGGAGCACCGGCGCGGGGATAAGGAGGCTGGCC